CGAGAAAAGCAGCCCATTTACCCCGTTGGAACATGTTCATTAACGCTGGCGTCGTCTCTTGTTCACAGTTTCGTTTTCGTGGGGTTAAAGGCGTAATGGAATATATAATTCCCAGCTGCGTGCCTAACTGTGATCCTCATGAGACAAACTCAGATTCAAAAATGTTTTTTACCTCCACAGAGTTCGGTGAAGCAGGAGCTGGTGGAGAAAGGGTTGGCACAGTACAAGGATATTTGATCTCAAGTGTCTTTGACCACATTCGGAAGACTTGCTTAACCAGCAATTTCTTGACCATGAATTTTCAGGCTGTGCGCACTAGTATATTTAATTAATAATTTCAGCAACATTGTGTCCGAGACAAGGGACAAAACAACTCACTCACAGTCTTCACTCAAGCCTCTTGTTCCATTAGTTGTCAATCACAACTCACCACGCTGGCGATTTTGGCTGAAGACGAGGTCTTCCTGATTGATGTATCGGGAATCGAACACGGGTAGGGGACGTTTTAACAACCTCACCAACCCACCTAACACCGCCCTTCGGATATTTCTAGCATGTAATGACTTGACGCAGCAGAATATAATCCATTATATCGTATAGCCTGTCGGTTTAGTTCTGCTTCTTGTTTCCATAACAGAACAAGTACATGTTGGTATACATTAACCAATGCATCCTATATGTTCTCCTTTCCATAACTACCGGCGGAGATGGAATGGAAAATACACCTGACGTAAAATTGGCAATCGGACGAAACAGTAATCAAATAGAAACATTCAAACTGAGAAGTTATGCTGAATTTAACTCTCTTCCATGCAGTCTGATCCCCGAGATGATCATATGATAAAGTTCTGGCTGACCCTTAGTATTGTGTCGTTCTGGCTGAATGATGTTGTGGCTGTTCCCCCGATATCACCTTCTTGCTTATCCCTGATGATCAGCTAGTATAGTGTAGTTCTTGCTGATCCCCTACTATAAAGACGCTGTGGCTGTTCCCCCGATATCACCTTCTTGCTTATCCCTGATGATCAGCTAGTATAGTGTAGTTCCTGCTGATCCCCTACTATAAAGACGTTGTGGCTGTTCCCCCGATATTACCTTCTTGCTTATCCCTGATGATCAGCTAGTATAGTGTAGTTCTTGTTGATCCCCTACTATAAAGACGCTGTGGCTGTTACCCCGATATATTGTAGTTCATGCTTATCCCTGATGATCAGCTAGTATAGTGTAGTTCTTGCTGATCCCCTACTATAAAGACGCTGTGGCTGTTCCCGGATATATTGTAGTTCATGCTTATCCCTGATGATCAGCTAGTAAAGTGTAGTTCTTGCTGATCCCCTACTATAAAGACGTCGTGGCTGTTCCCCCGATATATTGTTGTTCATGCTTATCCCTGATGATCAGCTAGTATAGTGTAGTTCTTGCTGATCCCCTACTCTCATAACGTTGTGGATGTTACCCCGATATATTCTAGTTCTGGTTGATCCCTCAGTACAACGTAACTCTGACTGATTCCCTAGGATAGCGTTACTGTGACTGACACCCTATAATATTCTAGACTTCCATGCTTATCCCTGATGATCAGTGAGTATTAGTGTAGTTCTTGCTATCCCCTACTATAACTGATTCTATAGCGTTACTGTGACTGACCCCGATATATTTCTGTAGTTCATGTTATTCCCTGATAGCGTTACTCACCTATTATAATGTAGTTCTGGTTGATCCCTTAGTACAACGTAACTTACTGTGACTGATTATAATGTAGTTCTGGCTGATCCCTGTACAACGTTACTGCTGATCCCTGATGATTACACCCTATTATAATGTAGTTCTGGCTGATCCTCAGTACAACGTAACTCTGACTGATTACCTAGATTCCCTAGATAGCGTATAATGTAGTGTGGCTGATCCCATAACCTCTGATGATTCCCTAGGATAGCGTTACTGTACACCCTATTATAATGTAGTTCTGGTTGATCCCTTAGTACAACGTAACTCTGACTGATTCCCTAGGATAGCGTTACTGTGACTGACACCCTATTATAATGTAGTTCTGGCTGATCCCTTAGTACAACGTAACTCTGACTGATTCCCTAGGATAGCGTTACTGTGACTGACACCCTATTATAATGTAGTTCTGGCTGATCCCTCAGTACAACGTAACTCTGACTGATTCCCTAGGATAGCGTTACTGTGACTGACACCCTATTATAATGTAGTTCTGGCTGATCCCATAGTACAACGTAACTGATCCCCTATTATACTGGCTGATCCTATTCCTAGGATAGCGTTACTGTGACTGACACCCTATTATAATGTAGTTCTGGCTGATCCCTCAGTACAACGTAACTCTGACTGATTCCCTAGGATAGCGTTACTGTGACTGATCCCTCATTATAACGTAGTTCTGGCTGATCTGATACAACGTAACTCTGACTGATTCCGTTACTGTGACTGACACACCCTATTATAATGTAGTTCTGGCTGATCCCTCAGTACAACGTAACTCTGACTGATTCCCTAGGATAGCGTTACTGTGACTGACACCCTATTATAATGTAGTTCTGGCTGATCCCTCAGTACAACGTAACTCTGACTGATTCCCTAGGATAGCGTTACTGTGACTGACACCCTATTATAATGTAGTTCTGGCTGATCCCTCAGTACAACGTAACTCTGACTGATTCCCTAGGATAGCGTTACTGTGACCGACACCCTATTATAATGTAGTTCTGGCTGATCCCATAGTACAACGTAACTCTGACTGATTCCCTAGGATAGCGTTACTGTGACTGACACCCTATTATAATGTAGTTCTGGCTGATCCCTTAGTACAACGTAACTCTGACTGATTCCCTAGGATAGCGTTACTGTGACTGACACCCTATTATAATGTAGTTCTGGCTGATCCCTCAGTACAACGTAACTCTGACTGATTCCCTAGGATAACGTTACTGTGACTGACACCCTATTATAATGTAGTTCTGGTTGATCCCTCAGTACAACGTAACTCTGACTGATTCCCTAGGATAGCGTTACTGTGACTGACACCCTATTACAGTGTAGTTCTGGTTGAGTTATGGATAAGTTCGAGAGGGAAAGGTCGGTCGTGAGTTGCAATGATTAACTAAACCGGCAGATGCAGGGGTGGGAGCGTGCTACAGGGGGGCCGACAGGTGGGAAAGCACTTAAGCACATTTGCAAGTCAAAGCGGTCTATGGGTGTTCTACGTTCGGCCTCTCAGACACATAGATACATGTTGCAACATCTTGGCTCTACATCTCCCGAAGGCTGCAAGTTCCTGATGCACGGCAGCTGAGAAAGATAGGATGTCATACCGATACCAGACTGCCCGTTAGCGCAGAGACAGCATTGTTTTATGGCGAGCGTAGCATCGGATGCCAGACACTGAATGGTCGCCATGGCATGACGTTCCAGCAGTCACGAGCACACTGACCAGAAAATGAGGTTAAAGTTTCAGTTTCCTTTATTTTATTTTCACGCAATATATGTAACATTGGTTATGCCGGAGTGTATCGTATGGGTATTACAAATAAATGCATCAGTAATTCTCAGCCTGTGAAAAGGTATCATCGCTTACTACGACACTGTTGCACAAAGCGAGTTTAGCGCTACGATTATCGTTAGCCTATGTTTAGGTAGCGTTATATGATCCATCCTGCAACGGAGACCTGGCATCAACAGCATCCTTTATATCATTCCCGAAATCTACATCAGGATATTCTTCAAGCCTCACGAAAAGAGTCGATACATGTATTAATATTCCGAGTACGACACTTATAAGCATGCCACACGTAGACACACCCTGAAAGCTCGACCAGAGGTTCTTTTTCCCATAAACATATAGACACTAAAATTCCAGAAACCCAAGCGGGGTTGCTACAAACAATAAAGTGACTCGGTGCCCATGGTTCTTTGAGTCAGACATTCGTAAATCAGAACATTCTCCTGCCAGTGGCGCTGACCAGACTGATGGTGTTTTACTGCATCATTAAATCCTAAGCACCTGCATTAGTAACGTCAGTCTCAGACAAGGTCATGTTGGATGCTGTGTTGAGGTACCACACAGCTTTTATTTGCTAATACTTTAAACTGGGTATAGATGTTTCTGTGCTGTACAACACAGCCAGGTAACACAACTAAGATTCGCGTGGTCAGGATTGGTTAAACTTCCCTACGGAACGCGTGTGACCAAACAGTTTAAACCTGGTACACATAAGTATGTTGTATTACGTTCCTATGAGCCATCCGTTTGCAATCACGCATATCGTGGTCGCTGCATCAGTTTAACGGCCATTGCACACGGGCTTATCTTTCACACATGGGTTTTCTGGAAGCAATAATTCTACCGGTAGCAGTGGTAACTTGACGTGATCAGATTGAATGATACTGGCAACGAGGTCCGGCGATCTCCCACATCCTGAGGAAGAGATGGCCAACAACTCTGCCATGACATCCAAAGATTTCTATCGCCTGTAGTGGTGTTTTTTATTTTAAAATGGTAAGATGTTAAAGTAACACTGTACTCGGTACGCTGTTGCATTGGTCTAAGCATCAATGATTGATGCCCTTCTCCAGAAACTATTACCCAGTGACTATTTCGCATTGGCTAGGACGATTTGTGCACTGGAATTTCAAAGCCTTCAGTATCTCTGGATATTCGTATTTGTGCCCGGATTTGGGAAACTGATACATTTTTTATCCGACTGTATGGTAAAAGTATATGTTGACATCTGTGAACTCCGTTATCATTGAGTTTATGATCGTTTAAAACTCTTTCAAAAAGGAATAAAACAGATGTTTTAAAAATAGACTCTTTCGCTTTAAATCATAATTCGTAGGGTTATTTCACTGGGTTATTTTTTATATTCTTTATGATAAGATGAGTAAAACCGGAGACAGGAAGAAATACAAGGAATTGTCAAAGAAGTTTCATTAGGACGTTTGCAAAAGTTACTCAATAGCCAGTAAAATTCACTTACCTGTTGCCAAGGAAAATCCCAATGGTAAAGACTACGACGAAAGTCGTCATGGTTTTATGTCCCCAATCCTACCTACAAGAATCACTACACATCCAACCTTCTGTATCCCTCAAGCCAACTGACGACCGTCTCTCCGCTTCACACTCTGCCAACAAAAATAGACCCAGAAGCAGACGATAGATTGTGCGTTGTCAGCTCGTGCGAATTGGGGAACTGAGCGTCCGTCAATCTGGTATCCCACTAACAATTCCCGCGGTTACTCCACAGGCACTCTCTGTAGTAAACGGCAGGCTTTGGTAGTGTGCGGGTACTTTTTCCTATCCGCGGCCTTGAATGTGTGTGTTATTAGCTTGCTGTACACCAGCATCTACCAAACTCATCGGTTTTCACTGCGTTATTTTACTGTGCAAAAAGTAACTCCTGTAGTTTTTCATTAGAGGAGAATTCAAGTACTTTTGGAGGGTACGCAAACGTTTTAAACATCCAGAATCTCGTTCAACAAACACCAAGATGGATAGGTTTGATGTTTTAGTTAACAGGGGATGAGCGAGTGAGAGTACGCCGCATTGTATTTACCCACTGATATAATTGTACATACAGGTTTTCCAAAGGCTTAAAATCAGAGGTGGTTGTTGTGATTATAAACTTCGAATTGAGGATCGGGTGATATCCAAATTCACGATAGAATTCGCAAATGGGAAGTGAGGAGTGAGCGAGTTAAGTGTACGCTGCTTTTATCAATACTCCAGCAATATCACGGCGGGACGCCAGAAATGGGCTTCACATATTGTACCCATGTAGGGAATCGAACCCGGGTCTTCAGCGAAGCAAAATGGGTAGTTACAAACGGAAGCTTAACTACTAGTATTACTCTAGATGATTTGACGAAAAGAAATGCATTATTAAGACACAAACACTTTCAGCGACACCTCGTTTGTCTTGACAAGTTACTCCGGTAGCCCTCAGCCTGGACAGTTATATTTTGGGGCTCGCATTAACTAAAGTGACATGCTGGATGGGGTTAACCACTCTAGTCATGTTAACAAGGCGTCCTACTTACGCGTCCGACTTCGGTTCAGAAGGTCCGTGGTTCGAATCCCAGCACGGGACTCCGAAATTTTGGATGGCCGCTACATTTAGACAATCCTGGCCCCTAATTTTCGAAACAAACTTAAGTTTTTATCAAATTTCAAACTGAGTTTGACAATTTGAAACAGCTGAATTTTTCCACTCAACTGCATTTTAAAATAAAAAAGACCAAACAACTTGAGTGATCTATCCACCAAACTCAAATTGTCTACTATGTTTGAGTTTAATATCAATTTCAGTTTATTCTAGGAAATGCATTTTCTCAATTTGGGTAAAATCTCTAACTTAAGTCAAAACTCAGACTTAAGCTTTTGTTTCGAGAAATAGGGGCCTCCTGCCAATGTTATTGGAAAGGTTCTAGTGATCGATGTTCCATTGTACATAGTACTTCACAAGCAAATGATGATAAGGTAATAATGCATGAATGGATGACGCTAAACTTATTTTCCACACTACCGAAGCTCATTGTGGTGGAAGTGAAGATACGCATAGACATTGTATTTTGTACATACATGTATAGAAAGTTCCGTTAAGAGCCAGGTATAATAGGCGGCTTGTGGTTGAAGGTAGCAATCGGTCACCAATTAAAGTCCCACTAATCCCACAACGAAGCTTACATCACCCGTATGTTCCTCACGTCATTGGGTGTTCTACGTTCGGCCTCTTAGACACATAGATACATGTTGCAACATCTTGGCTCTACATCTCCCGAAGGCTGCAAGTTCCTGATGCACGGCAGCTGAGAAAGATAGGATGTCATACCGATACCAGACTGCCCGTTAGCGCAGAGACAGCATTGTTTTATGGCGAGCGTAGCATCGGATGCCAGACACTGAATGGTCGCCATGGCATGACGTTCCAGCAGTCACGAGCACACTGACCAGAAAATGCCTCTTGAACATGAGGTTAAAGTTTCAGTTTCCTTTATTTTATTTTCACGCAATATATGTAACATTGGTTATGGCGGAGTGTATCGTATGGGTATTACAAATAAATGCATCAGTAATTCTCAGCCTGTGAAAAGGTATCATCGCTTACTACGACACTGTTGCACAAAGCGAGTTTAGCGCTACGATTATCGTTAGCCTATATTTAGGTAGCGTCATATGATCCATCCTGCAACGGAGACCTGGCATCAACAGCATCCTTAATATCATTCCCGAAATCTACTTCAGGATATTCTTCAAGCCTCACGAAAAGAGTCGATACATGTATTAATATTCCGAGTACGACACTTATAATCATGTCACACGTAGACACACCCTGAAAGCTCGACCAGAGGTTCTTTTTCCCATAAACATATAGACACTAAAATTCCAGAAACCCAAGCGGGGTTGCTACAAACAATACAGTGACTCGGTGCCCATGGTTCTTTGAGTCAGACATTCGTAAATCAGAACATTCTCCTGCCAGTGGCGCTGACCAGACTGATGGTGTTTTACTGCATCATTAAATCCTAAGCACCTGCATTAGTAACGTCAGTCTCAGACAAGGTCATGTTGGATGCTGTGTTGAGGTACCACACAGCTTTTATTTGCTAATACTTTAAACTGGGTATAGATGTTTCTGTGCTGTACAACACAGCCAGGTAACACAACTAAGATTCGCGTGGTCAGGATTGGTTAAACTTCCCTACGGAACGCGTGTGACCAAACAGTTTAAATCTGGTACACATAAGTATGTTGTATTACGTTCCTATGAGCCATCCGTTTGCAATCACGCATATCGTGGTCGCTGCATCAGTTTAACGGCCATTGCACACGGGCTTATCTTTCACACATGGGTTTTCTGGAAGCAATAATTCTACCGGTAGCAGTGGTAACTTGACGTGATCAGATTGAATGATACTGGCAACGAGGTCCAGCGATCTCCCACATCCTGATGAAGAGATGGCCAACAACTCTGCCATGACATCCAAAGATTTCTATCGCCTGTAGTCGTGTTTTTTATTTTAAAATGGTAAGATGTTAAAGTAACACTGTACTCGGTACGCTGTTGCATTGGCTTAAGCATCAATGATTGATGCCCTTCTCCAGAAACTATTACCCAGTGACTATTTCGCATTGGCTAGGACGATTTGTGCACTGGAATTTCAAAGCCTTCAGTATCTCTGGATATTCGTATTTGTGCCCGGATTTGGGAAACTGATACATTTTTTATCCGACTGTATGGTAAAAGTATATGTTGACATCTGTGAACTCCGTTATCATTGAGTTTATGATCGTTTAAAACTCTTTCAAAAGGAATAAAACAGATGTTTTAAAAATAGACTCTTTCGCTTTAAATCATAATTCGTAGGGTTATTTCACTGGGTTATTTTTATATTCTTTATGATAAGATGAGTAAAACCGGAGACAGGAAGAAATACAAGGAATTGTCAAAGAAGTTTCATTAGGACGTTTGCAAAAGTTACTCAATAGCCAGTAAAATTCACTTACCTGTTGCCAAGGAAAATCCTTGAATGGTAAAGACTACGACGAAAGTCGTCATGGTTTTATGTCCCCAATCCTACCTACAAGAATCACTACACATCCAACCTTCTGTATCCCTCAAGCCAACTGACGACCGTCTCTCCGCTTCACACTCTGCCAACAAAAATAGACCCAGAAGCAGACGATAGATTGTGCGTTGTCAGCTCGTGCGAATTGGGGAACTGAGCGTCCGTCAATCTGGTATCCCACTAACAATTCCCGCGGTTACTCCACAGGCACTCTCTGTAGTAAACGGCAGGCTTTGGTAGTGTGCGGGTACTTTTTCCTATCCGCGGCCTTGAATGTGTGTGTTATTAGCTTGCTGTACACCAGCATCTACCAAACTCATCGGTTTTCACTGCGTTATTTTACTGTGCAAAAAAGTAACTCCTGTAGTTTTTCATTAGAGGAGAATTCAAGTAGTTTTGGAGGGTACACAAACGTTTTAAACATCCAGAATCTCGTTCAACAAACACCAAGATGGATAGGTTTGATGTTTTAGCTAACAGGGGATGAGCGAGTGAGAGTACGCCGCATTGTATTTACCCACTGATAATTGTACATACAGGTTTTCCAAAGGCTTAAAATCGGAGGTGGTTGTTGTGATTAAAAACTTCGAATTGAGGATCGGGTGATATCCAAATTCACGATAGAATTCGCAAATGGGAAGTGAGTGAGTGAGCGAGTTAAGTGTACGCTGCTTTTATCAATACTCCAGCAATATCACGGCGGGACGCCAGAAATGGGCTTCACATATTGTACCCATGTAGGGAATCGAACCCGGGTCTTCAGCGAAGCAAAATGGGTAGTTACAAATGGAAGCTTAACTACTAGTATTACTCTAGATGAATTTGACGAGAACAAATCCATTATTAAAACACGTACGACAAACACTTTCAGCGACACCTCGTTTGTCTTGACAGGTTACTCCGGTAGCCCTCAGTCTGGACAGTTATATTTGGGGGCTCGCATCAACTAAAGTGACATCCTGGAATTGTATGTAGCAGGGCGTGGTGTCATCTTCCAGATGACATTCTTACTTTGACAGCTTGCTGATGGGGTTAACTTCTTTGGTCATGTGGACAAGGCGTCCGATGTCGGATCAGCGGTTCGAATCCTAGCACAAAACTCGGACATTCTATGGCCGCTACACTGGTTCCCATTGACTGGGCACGTTCATATCAAGTTTGAGCAAAATAAGTCTCGATATATAGCTATGCGGCCCTGGACGTTCCTTCTGTTTAAGGGGGAATATATATATATAGCTAGGCGTGGAGTTATCCCACAGATGACTTTGTCGGCATGCTGATAGGGTTAACCACCCTAGTCATGTGAACAAGGCGTCCGACTTACGCGTCCGACTTCGGTTCAGAAGGTTCGTGGTTCGAATCCCAGCACGGGACTCGGAAATTTTGTGGCCTCTACATTTAGACAATCCTGCCAATGTTATTGGAAAGGTTCTGGTGATCGATGTTCCATTGTACATAGTTCTTCACAAGCAAGTGATGATAAGGTAATAATACATGAATGGATGATGCTAAACTTATTTTCCACACTACCGAAGCTCATTATGGTGGAAGTGAAGATACGCATAGACATTGTATTTTGTACATACATGTATAGAAAGTTCCGTTAAGAGCCAGGTATAATATCACCCGTATGTTCCTCACGTTATTGGATTTTCACGCTCATGCGTCCTAGCAAGTGCCGTGGATCAAAA